GGATATCACCAGATACGGGTTCATGACCAAGACGTAGAGAAAAAAGCTTTCAGAACACACGAAGGACACTACGAATTCTTGGTAAAGCCGTTCGGGCTTACAAAAGCACCATCTACCTTTCAGGCCCTTCTTTTTATTTTTTATTTTTTGATAAGAAACAAAGAGAATGCATTCAAATCAAAAGAGCCCAAAAAGGCGAGAACAACCTAATGGCGGATGGTAGAGAGAACCCTCCCCAAAGAGAACTATACAATCGCATTCTTCCAATCCTGTGAAATCAAAAAAAGACTGTTGTTTCCAAGCCTTCTTGTGGATTGTGGCCCACCAAGAAGCTGTATGCTTTGTATTCACACAAAAAGAATCTAAAGGGACAGATTTGTCCTAAAAAAGTCTACTATTTCTCTCTTTCCAAAGATGCCTCCGAGTCCTCGCTGCACACTGCCATAGGATCGCAGCTTTGCCTTTGAGCACCACCCCACCAAATCCTTCCGCTATGAAGTCATCTATATGTTTAGGAAGACAGAAGGAGAAATCCAAAAGCGAAGCCATATAGTTCCAAGCCCGAGTGGCAAAAAAACAGTGGATGAAAATATGATCCACCGAATCTGAATTTCTTAGGCAGAGACCACAAACCGAAGGGGAGAGCGCCCAATGGGGGAGCTTTCTTCGTATTCTCTCGGCTGTGTTTGTGCTCCTATAAAAGATAGTCCATAGGAAAAATTTCACCTTTTTTGGAACCCTAAAATTCCATATCATAGAAGCTGTGGTCGTGTTCAATTTAGGGGAGGGAGCTGTCAAAGCTATAAAAACTGATTTCGCTGTAAAACGACCTTTACTATCAGCCTTCCACCATAAACGATCCCTGCCTTGGCCCGGAACCATACCTCCTAATTTGTCAGTGAAAGAAGCCCATCTATCGATCTCCCTATCAAAAAGATTCCTTCTCAACCTGATATCCCAAGTTGAAGACTCGGTAACCTAGCAAGCTGCCACAGAATGGTTCTTTTTAGTGGAAAGGCGGTAATAATCGGGAACAAANGAAGGAGAAATCCAAAAGCGAAGCCATATAGTTCCAAGCCCGAGTGGCAAAAAAACAGTGGATGAAAATATGATCCACCGAATCTGAATTTCTTAGGCAGAGACCACAAACCGAAGGGGAGAGCGTCCAATGGGGGAGCTTTCTTTGTATTCTCTCAGCTGTGTTTGTGCTCCTATAAAAGAGAGTCCATAGGAAAATTTTCACCTTTTTTGGAACCCTAAAATTCCATATCATAGAAGCTGTGGTCGTGTTCAATTTAGGGGAGGGAGCCGTCAAAGCTATAAAAGCTGATTTCGCTGTAAAACAACCTTTACTATCAGCCTTCCACCATAAACGATCCCTGCCTTGGCCCGGAACCATACCTCCTAATTTGTCAGTGAAAGAAGCCCATCTATCGATCTCCCTATCAAAAAGACTCCTCAAAAAGATTCCTTCTCAACCCGATATCCCAAGTTGAAGACTCGGTAACCCAGCAAGCTGCCACAGAATGGTTCTTTTTAGTGGAAAGGCTGTACAAATCAGGGAACAAAGAAGAAAGGGGAGAAGGAACAATCCATCTATCCTCCCAAAATCTCATTGAGTCCCCCCTTGAAACTTTAAAAAAAGTGAGCTTTGTGAAGACCTCTAGGTTGTTCTGTATATCTATCCAAGGTCTTCCAATAGAAGACCCTTGCAAAGGCAAAGGCGTCCAACCATGTGAATCCTCCCCATAAATGGAAGCTATCACCTTCCTCCAAAAACTATTTTTTTCCATTGCAAAGCGCCAAAGCCATTTCATAAGGAGAGCTTTATTCCTTAATCCAAGGGAGCCAATACCGAGACCCCCCTGTTTGTGAGACAAGGCAGTCCATGACCATTTCACAAGATTTCCAATTGGTCTAAATCTTCCACCATTCCAAATGAAGTCTCGCATGAGTTTCTCCATGGTCGAGATCACCGACTTAGGAGCTTTTAGGATTGAAAAAAAATAGATCGGGATGCTGTTCAGAACTGCTTGTGGTAGAGTTAATCGACCCCCCTTTGATAGCAACAAAGATCTCCATTTTCTAGTCTCTTATGCATTTTGTCCACCACTGCTTTCCAATAGATTGGCATTCTAGCACAAGCAGTTCCTACTGAACTGTATATTCCGGTCGTTCCTACGCAGGTTCATTCTCGTTTTCTTTGATGAAATTTTGATTTCCAGCCAGGACATGGAATCTCACTTACGCCATCTAGCGATTGTGTTCGATCTTCTGCGAGAGAACCAACTCTATGCCAATCAGAAAAAGTGCCGTTTTGCTCAAACACGGATGGATTTGCTTGGGCATTGGGTATCATCCAAAGGAGTCGAAGCTGACCCCGAGAAGGTTCAGGCAATGATCCAATGGTCGATTCCGACTAACATCAAGGACCTCAGAGGTTTTCTAGGCTTGACGGGGTATTACCGTTGCTTTGTGGCTGACTATGGGACAATTGCTGCTCCTCTGACACAATTGCTGAAGAAGGACGCCTTTGAATGGTTCGATGATGCCACGACGGCCTTCAACAAATTGAAGCATGCTACGATTACACTCCCAGTCTTACCTTTGCCAGATTTTTTACAGCCGTTCGTGATTGAAACAGATGCGTTCGGGACAGTGCTAGGTGCGATCCTATCGCAACACCAACGCCGTATCGCTTTTTTAGTAAGAACTTATTCCCCAGGCACAATTGAAATCGATATACAAACGTGAGTTGATGGTAGTCATTTTAACAGTGCAACGTTGGCGACCTTACCTATTGGGTTAGAAGTTCATAGTTCGTATGGACCAATCGGCATTAAAATACCTCTTAGAACAGAGGGTCACGCCCCCGTAATACTAGCGTTGGGTGTTGAAGTTGTTGGGGTATAATTTCGAAATATAGTACCGTCGAGGGGTTGAGAACAAGGCAGTCGACGCCCTCTCCCGAATGCCTCCCACCATTGAAATCAACGCTCTGACCGCCCCTGCCATTCTCGATGTGGAAGCTATTAAGGCAAAAGTCGAACAGGACCTGACTTAATTCTGATTATTCAGAAATTACAAGAGGATGAAGATAGTGTACTGAAGTTCTTCCTCGATCAAGGTATGTTGAACTATAAAGGGCGTTTGGTTCTTTCAAAAAACTCCACCCTCTACACACATACCATGATTCTGTCTTCGGGTGTCACTTGGGGTTTCTTCGTACTATAAGCGGTTGACCAGTGAGCTGTATTGGCCGGGTATGAAACAAGACGCCAAACGCCATGTGGAGGGCTGCCCAACTTGTCAGCGGAATAAGAGCATGGCTGTATCTCCCACGGGCCTTCTCCAACCTTACCAATCCTGGATCGTATATGGCAAGACATATCGATGGACTTCATTGAAGGCCTTCCGAAGTCAGCGGGCTACGATACCATCCTAGTGGTAGTCGACCGTCTCAGTAAATACGGCCATTTTATCCCTGTCAGCCACCCTTTTTCAGCCAAAACTATTGCAGCAGTGTTTGTAAAAGAAATCGTTCGGCTTCACGGATTTTAGAAATCCATTGTTTCAGATCGCGACAAGATTTTTATCAGCTACTTCTGGATCGAGCTATTTCGCCTGCAGGATACCCGATTGAATCGTAGCACGACCTACCATCCACAGTCGGACGACCAAACAGAGATCGTCAATAAGTGCCTCGAGACTTACTTGCGCTATTTCTGTAATGAAAGCCCGAAGCAATGGAGTAACTGGGTGCCATGGGCTGAGTATTGGTATAATACCTCCTATCATATTTCGGAGAACACTACCCCATTCCACATTGTTTATGGACGACCCCCACCCCCTCTCATCTCGTATGGCGACAAGCAGACACCCAACGTTACATTGGAACATCAAATATTGCACGAGATCAGACCTTGCTGACCTTGAAGGAACATCTCACGACAGCCCAAAACCGAATGAAGATGTTTGCTGATCAGCATCGTAGGCATGTCGAATTCACTGAGGGTGATTGGGTCTACCTCAAAATCAGGCCCTACCGCCAACAAATATTAGCTCGCCGCCGCTGCGAGAAACTAACCCCGAAGTATTTTGGTCCTGATGAGTGGCGTACAAGCTGGAACTACCATCTGAAGCTACCATTCACCCAGTATTCCACATTTCTCAACTGAAGAAGGCCATCGGAACAGATTCAATAGTTCAAGCCCACCCTCCCAACCTCTCGGAGAACTTCGAATGGGTGGTAGAATCGGTGGATGTTATGGCGGTGCGGAAGAACCCGGACAACGGCGAGTGGGAGCTGTTGATTGAATGGCAACAGTTACCAGAGCATGAAGCCACATGTGAGCCCCTCACTACTATTCAGCACCAGTTTCCGAATTTCCACCTTGAGGACAAGGTGTCTTTCACCCCGGGGTAGTGTGAGGCCACCAATAGTGAATACTTATGTTTGAAAGGGTAAAGGGGTAAAATCCCCTGAGGAGGGTTAGTTAACCTTATGTGGTTAGTGCCGGGTTAGCTTAGTCCTTATATAGTTTTGTGTCGGCTGTTTAGATGTTTATGCTTTTGATGATTGTTGTAATCCAATAGACTTGGAGAGCTCTCAACCCTCTCGAATCGGTTGATCGGTTGAGTCTGTGTAGGCCAAGGGCCATTTCGATATTTTGATTATCAATTAGTAAGGGAATACCTTACATCCACACTTTGGTTCCCCCACCACCCATAATAATAAAAAATAAGATGCCTCTTGAGATATGGAAGCATTAGATGCCTGACATGGTTCACCATGAAAATCAGCTTTGGGAATTTATATTGATTATTGCCTCATACAATGGATGTCAAATTAGGATTCTGATATATATTTGAAATATTATTTGGTGAAGTTTTGTTCAGTTTGCTTTAAAAAAAAGTGTCTTATTCAGTTATGTATTCCAGTTGGGTAGCATAGTATCTAATAAGGGATTATCTTATTTTGAAACATTTTTCAATGCCAGACAAATTCAAGTAGGAAAAGGCGTAAATTTGACGTTGAAGAATCTGAGGATAGTGAATACGGTAAAGGGAGAACGGTGAAGGTTATAGAAGGTAAAGGCCTTGAGTCCCAGAAAGAAGAGTTTCCAAAGCGCAAGAGGAACACTCGAAAAAGAAGATTGTCTCTTCAAGGAAAAGGTATAAAGGATATTAGGAAGCGACGTAAGGCAGACATGTTTACTGACGATGACGTTGGTCTGCTTTCTGATTCAAGTGATGGAAGCATGTTCAGTGAGGATGAGCTGCAGGATGTTGATGAATGTCCACAAAGAAGAGAAGCCTCTGGCTCAGATGAGTAGTTTGGATGGCATTTTGTTAGTTGTGTTCTCTATGTTGTGGATGGAATTTACTGTATTCCAGTTACAACATTGCCATATTCAAGGAATCTGGGGCAGCCTTTGTTGCATAGCTTCTGTAGTGTAACTTTTACTCTTCATCAGGCTGCTTCATTTTTTTCCTTTTGTAAGTGGAAATTTGTGAATATTGTTGCAACTTTTGCATGTATGTATTAATTTTATCGAAGAATCAACAGCGCGATACTTCTGGATCTTTATTCATTCAAAATCGAATACTTGTAATCGCATCCAAAAGAATGTTTCTGATCTGTTAGTTTGCCCCTGCACGACGGACTAAGATCCAAGTAGTAGATGCTAAAGGAGTTGTGTTCTTTGTTAGTCCATTTACTTTAGAATGTACCACACAAGTTTTTGAACTTTTAGAGTTGTCTATTTGGTTTTTCGTATTTTAAAATGGTTCTAATATACTTTTTAACTTTCAATTTTGTATTTATCGTTAAGACATGTCTAATACTTATTCTACTGAATGTTCTATATCTCAAATCAGTCCATTAAGTTATTCGATGTTTCCCACCTCAAATCAGCCCATTATATTTTTTAAGTACATTTAACATGTCACGTAATACTAAATTTGCCGAAGTTAATCATAAAAATTTGTTATTAGAAATTTTTTTGAATCAAAGAAATTAGATAAATCTAACCTTAAAAGTTCATACCTATTATACATTTTATAAAGTGCAAATGCTAAATAGATAATTTTTAAAAAATTTAGTAACTTGTTAGAAATTTTTTTAAAGCAAAGAAACTAAATAAATTCAGCCCCAAGGGGCCATTTGTTTTGTGGGATTCCAACATTCTCGTGAGACGACCATCTGGATTCACATGTTTGTTTTGTAGAGGTACTCGGATATCTTCAGATGTTTGCTTATATTGGACTAGGGGTTGATCGAGGTGCCAACTAACCTTTGTCCCTGTCCCTCAATCAATCAATGGGGTATCTTAGGATGGTCATATGGAAAGTATTTGAGTCGATTTGGATGTCCTTTTAAAACATGAGTTTTTGAAATTTCCATGTCGAGGGCATTTTTGTCATTTTTCATATATTTTCTTTCATCAATTTTCTAAATCTTTATTTTTAATTTTATAATTTAAATAAATTAATGTACTCACTCATTAATAAACAACTTTATGCCATTAAATATATTTATATATATTGACATATAAACTACAATTAAATGATATAATATATGAATTTATTTTTAATATTTGAAAGGAATTATTATCAATAACATTTATTATCTTAAATATATAATTTTAAAGTAACATTTTTTTTAACAACCAACACATATATGATATTTTTCTTCTAAAAAAATTGATAAATGATAAATAAATCTCACCTCATATAATATTAATTATATAATTATCTTTGACAAAATATTAAAGTTACAATGAAATTTATATTCAATATTAATCTTCATTTAAAAAAAAAAGAATCTTATATTAATATGAATTATACATAATAACATAAAAAATTAATATATACGGAATTCATATAAAAAAAATAAAATACTAAATTAATAAAAACAAATTTATTGTATAAATATATTATATTAAATTAATATATAAATTATATGAATATATTTGTAAGAGCACTTTTGGAACATTCATAAATTTACAATATTTCAAGAATAAATCCTAAAAAACAAATGTTGCTATCCAAATATTTCCGAGACATCCTTAAAAATATTCCTACAAAACAAATATGGCTATCTGAACATGCCGAACATTAAAATTTCGGGCATCTAAAATTTCAGACATCTGAAGATGCCGGGTGTCATGGTCATGCTCGTCTAGGACCTGTTTTGTGGCCGCATGCCCATAACAACCTATTTCCACGTACTTTTATGCCATGTATTTAGTTTTGCATGTTATTTACTTTTCCTTGTACTTTTGGTGGCAAGTGACTCTTCGCCACTTTGCACATACCCTGCCATATCAAATATACCTTAGAATGTACTATAGGGAGGGTACACCTAGTTATCCTCCCTACATTGCGTTGTATTCTTGTCTTATCGCTAATCTATTCTCTTGCATTCAAGCTTACAACAACTTTCCAAAATGCTTTCAAACGTTTTCAAAAACTTTTTTCTCTAACCCCGTTTCCAAAACCGTTTTCTCGAGAACGGGGGTGGAGGTTGCGACATATAGCCGTTGTGCCATCGATTATCCGATTTCTTATTGGCTGACTTGCTAGAGGGCGGAAGCAAGTGCTGCACAATTGCTTTCTGAGTCCCGTTAAAGTGCGATTGTGACAATTGGTATCAGAGTCTAGTTGGCTCATCGAGTTCGAAAACAGTAACCATGTCCACGACAAAGCAGTTGGACAAGTCCCACGTCAACAGACTCGTCGAGATCGAAGAACAGCTATAGTTCTTGAGGGAAATCCCTGACAATATTAAATATGTGGAATCTCGATTGGATGAGATCTCCACCAAAGCTGACGCAATTGACATCGTGAATGCCCGTATATATGGGCTTGTTGTACGTGAGTTGATGCTTTGGGTTGAGACCCTTGAAGGCAAGGTTAAGCGAATTGATAACCTTGAGCAAGGCGAAAGCTCATCGAGCTCAATCGTCCACATGGAGGAGCGTGTTGGGGAACTGGACACCTCCCAAAAGATTATTATTCAGATGGTCAACGAGTTGACTAACGACTTCAAAGCTGCCATTGACAACGTGAAGGCAGAGCTTGCCGAATTAGGCACCAGAGTAAATCTCACTATGAGAGCAATGAGGAATTAAGCCCCAACTGGGACCTATTCAGTTCAACAAGGTGAAAGTTCCAGAGCCCAAGCCCTTCTGTGGGGCGAGATGCTAAGGCTCTCGAGAACTTCATCTTTGACCTTGAGTAGTGTTTCAAGGCGACAAGCACCTGTGACAGAGGAATCAAAAATCACACTAGCCACAATGCATCTTGCTGATGATGCTAAGTTGTGCTGGAGAGCGAGATATATAGATGTACAAGAGGGCATATGTACCATCGACACCTAGAAAAAACTAAGGCAGGAACTTAGATGTCAATTATTCCTAGAAAATGTAAAGATCCTTGCCTACCGTAAACTGCGTGAATTGTGGCACATGAAATATTCGAAACTATGTAAAGCAGTCTTCAGGATTGATGTTGGACATCTGTGATATGTCTGAGAAAAACAAAGTCTTTGCCTTTATGGAAGGCTTGAAACCATGGGTCCAGGCTAAACTGTATGAACAGAAAGTGCAAGATATCACTACCACTTATGCCACATTCGAACGACTGTTTGATCTTAGCAACGATACATCGCAAGAGCAGAGAAAAACCCAAGCTTCTTCTAATGGTGGAAATAATCCCCCTAGAACAAGGTCCCTCAAAAGTATGGGAGTTGACAGAAACGAAGGGGAAGACCGTAGACCCTTTCAACAGAGGGGTGGAAACACATGGAGAGGGCCGAACCCATAGAACAATAACAACCGAATAGGACCCTCCTGCTTCATTTGTAAATGACCGCATAGAACGTACGAATGTTTGAATCGAGCTGCTCTTAGTGCCTTCCAAGCCACGTTGACGAACAATCAAGAGTCCTAGTATGAAGGCACCGAAACGAATACACCTCTCGAAGACATCGATGACAACCCCCGCATGGGAGCACTCAAATTTTTGTCAGCTCCTCGAAAGAAAGTTTAGGGGGTGAAGGAGCCACTGAAACGGGGACTGATGTATGTTGAAGCATGGGATAAGGACACAAGAAAGATGAAAGCTGTCAACTCGGCAATCCTCCCCATCATGAGAGTTGCTAAGAGAGTCTCAGTAAAACTAGAGGTATGGAGTGGACAAGTCGATTTTGTGATAGTGCGGATGGATGACTTCGACGTAGTATTGGAAATGGAATTTCTGCTGGAACACAAAGTCATCCCTGTGCCTCTTGTTAAGTACCTGGTTGTAACGGGTTCCGACCCCACAGTTGTTTGGACAAGCATCAAACAACCAAGCGGAGTGAAGATGATCTCAACACTCCAACTAAAGAAAGGTCTTGCTAATGATGAACCAACATTCATGGACCTTTCTGTAATGGAAGACAGAAACTCTGAAGAATCAGTTCCCCGAGAAATCCAACAAGTCTTAGATGTGTATTAAATGTAATGCCAGATAGCCTGCCCGAGGCCCTACCTCCAAGGCAGAGGATAGACCATGAGATTGAATTGTTACCAGGGGCGAAACCGCCCGCCAAGAATGCCTATCAGATGGCTCCTCCCGAGTTAGCTGAACTGAGAAAACAACTCGATGAATAATTGAACACTGGATTCATCCGCCCAACAAAAGCTCCCTATGGGGCCCAATCCTTTTTCAGAAGAAGAAAGACGGAAGCCTCCGCCTATACATTGATTATCTAGCGTTGAACAAACTCACAGTCCGCAACAAGTATCCTTTGCCTATCATCACCGACCTTTTTGATCAACTTCATGAGGCAAAATACTTCTCTAAACTGAATCTGCGATCTGGATACTATCAAGTGCGCATTGCAGAAGGAGACGAACCGAAGTCGACCTACGTCACTCGGTATGAGGCCTTTGAATTTTTTGTCATGCCCTTTGGCCTCACGAACGCTCTCGCCATTTTCTGCACCTTAATCAACCATGTGTTTCACGAATACCTCGACAAGTTTGTGGTTCTATATCTGGATGACATAGTTGTCTATAACCCAACAATGGAAGAACATAAAATACACTTACAACTTGTTTTCGAGAAGTTTAGGCAGAACCAGTTGTATRTTAAGCAGGAAAAGTGTTCCTTCACTCAATAGTGCATTAGTTTCCTAGGCCATGTCATAGAATGTGGCCGAATAGGAATTGAAAATGGGATGATCAAAGCCATTGAAGAATGGAAAGTACCGACATCCATCACAGAACTACGTTCATTTCTCGGTCTAGCCAACTACTATAGGCGATTTGTAGAAAGATTCTCGAAAAGGGTAGGACCCTTGACTGAACTACTAAAGAAGAATCAATCGTGGAATTGAACCTTAGAGTGTCAAGTTGCGTTCGAGAGCATGAAAAAGGCAATGATTGAGAGGCGGTGTCGGGGATTGCAGATGTTGCAAGACTTTTTGAAGTCGAGACTGATGCTTCAGACTTTGCCCTGGGAGGAGTGCTTCTCCAAGACGACCACCCTATTGCATACGAGAGTTGGATGTTGAATGATGCGGAAAGAAAGTATGCTGCCTCCGAGAAAAAGATGTTAGCAGTAGTCCACTGCTTGAGGGCCTGAAGACAA